GAATGTACATGCAACAACATGGAGAGAATATACATGCAACAATGTGGAGAGAATGTACATGATAACAACGTGGAGAGAATGTACATGCAACAACGTGGAGAATGTACATGCAACAACGTAGAAAGAATGTACATGCAACAATGTGGAGAGAATGTACATGCAACAATGTGGAGAGAATGCACATATAACAACGTGGAGAGGATGTACATGCAACAATGTGGAGAGAATGTACATGATAACAACGTGGAGAGAATGTACATGCAACAATGTGGAGAGAATGTACATGCAACAATGTGGAGAGAATGTACATGCAACAATGTGGAGAGAATGTACATGCAACAATGTGGAGAGAATGTACATGATAACAACATGGAGAGAATGTACATGCAACAACATGGAGAGAATATACATGCAACAACGTGGAGAGAATGTACATGCAACAACGTAGAAAGAATGTACATGCAACAATGTGGAGAGAATGTACATGCAACAATGTGGAGAGAATGTACAGGCAATAATGTGGAGAGAATGTACAGGCAACAATGTGGAGAGAATGTACATGCAACAATGTGGAAGGAAAGCAATTCAACAATGCAGAGAGAATATACATGTAACAATGCAGTGGCAATGTACATTTAACAAAGCAGTGGCAATGTACGTGTAACAATGCAGTAATAACGTATGTGTAACAATGCAGCAAAAACATACATACTTAGTACACTACATTCAACTATAGTAATGCTATTATTGACCGTTTACATGTGGTTACTAATACTAATACCGAGACCTGTGATACCAGTAATACAAGTAGACGTGACAATAAAGCACGCACCCATGTCAGCGTAAAACAGTCCCGTGGCGATGATGTCATAGAACAGAATGCCATTGGGAGCGGCAGGAGTATTCCACATGGCCTCCAGGCCGTGGGGTCCGTCCGCACGCACACTCACGCTGATAAGACCTTCCGGTGGCGCCTCCAACGTACGCGCTTGTATCTGGTCACTGTAACGCACGTACAGGCAATTTAACCTGCATACAACTCACGGGGGTCACTCAAGGGAAATGCAGTGTTTTTTTTGGAGAAAGGTGCCCATTCCATGGTTTCATGTTCTCTGCTTATAATGTTGTAATCAATAACGGGTTCTGTTAACATTACAAGCGCTGATCTGTTAACATTACAAGCGCTGATCTGTTAAAGTCTGTTGCATAAAATTATCTTATTCTTAAATTAATTTGAGAGAGACCCGTGAGCGAGAGAGAGATAGAACAATAGATAGAGGTGGATTGCCATCATCGTCATTACCAACCTTGCCCTGCATCCCTGCTCTGTGCAGGCTGACAACCGGAACTGATGCAGACTGTATGGCTTTAGACCCCTGATGGTGGTATTCAATCTCCCCGTACCATTAAAGACTCTCTTCAGACCGTTGTGCACCAACTCATACCGGGTGATGACGCCTGCGCATTGAGAGAAAGCTGTTACCACTCAACTTAGAGATTGAACATACAATGCAACGTTGACGTAAGCTGCAGTTGCTGCTGTTATCCTAAGAAAACTTGTATTTTTACCCCCAAGGAGGATGATAACATTTCAAAAAGTACTTCTTTGGCATTTTAAAGATATTGCAAATTGGACGATCAAATATTTAAAGTTAGGATATTTGTCTGGTGGTTAGAACAAGAAGGGGTTGAGGCCGTAGGAGGAAAATATTATAATGTAATTGTAATCTACGAGTTTCTACCATTTGAATAGGTTGGTTTCTTCCACTTCACCACCAGCCTGTCCTTCAATGGCGACGTGATCTCTGGTGGTGACACACCGTCTGGAGCGCCCTCTTCAGTCTTGAAGCTAACAGGTTCGCTCCATCGGCACCCGCCCCCCGTACACGCCTGCAATGCAAAAATTTTACAGTTACTGCACAACTCGTTAACGATCTCACAGCAAAATTACCATGGTACTGCTGACGAAATGAAATAACATGCCTTCCTTGCAAGAAAGCCACATCGAATCAATCTAGTGTCTGCCAAATTTCAGCGAAAATGTTCTACGTGCCAGTGAGTTGCAAAACTAAGAATTTCGAGACTCTGCTAGTTACGAGACTTTACTTAGTTGCGAGATCATGTACCACTCACGACAATTTAACAATTTCGAACTCATTACGTAAATTCTCGTGACGGCACGACCGGTATCACTCGTCCCCGACGTCGCCATACCTACCGCGACGGTGATGGCGTGAGGCGTTCCAGCGTCCAGTCCCGTGACGTCGGTGTCGCGGAAAGTGTCCGAGCTGTTGTAGGCGATGTAAGATAGGTTGCGCTCTGCCACCTCAATCCTCACCAGGTAGCGCTGCAATATCCCATTGAGCTGCAATGGTTCATTCCACTGCACGTACGCAGAATCGTTCCCTGTATTAAAAAATTCCCAACCACGATCTCAGATACAGGGTGCTATTGTCATAAAAACATCAATTATAATTGTGATATTAACTTTTTCGCACAGCTACGATACAGGTTCGCCACCGATATTCTGGCAGCTTTTGTACCGGGGCCACGACGCACCAGCAATTCCTCGGGACCATTACATGTCCAGATATGGTAATCTCTGATACTTCCCTAGACACCTCCTACCACTACATTTCCATCTCATATTAACTCTAAAGTGTTAGTGTCTCTAGTGTCCCTGGCTGCTAGGAACCAACACAGCTGAACCTGTGTCGCACATCATGAATGTATATCTAATGTAAAGAAAAAGATAAATCCACACAGTTACGGTTACTGCAGTCCATGCGTTGCGGAGATAGAAACGGTCATAAAAGCGGTTGCTATAGACTCTGAGGCACGAAGCGCACCGCTGCTGCCACCTACCGAGGACCGTGACAAGAGGAGAGTCCATGAGTGACGGGGGCAGCTGAGCGGTCGGCATGGCAACTACTTCACTCTCTGTGCATCCGACTTGTGTACAAGCAGTCAGCGACACGTCATACGTTGTGTGTACCTGTAGAATGATTAGCACATGCCGATATAACACAAATTATAACTAACTAATGAAACGGTTGACAATATTAGTACTAATTTACATGGCATTCACCCAAAATCTTAAAATAATTTATAGCTTAAATTATTTGCAACGAACTTCTATTTCTATCTGATCTATCATTAATATTTTATAATGATCATTGATGTGGTAAAAACATGCTCAATAATAGTATCCTGTATTTAATGGAGATCTATACATCCCTGTTGGGAGTACATTTGGAGTGATACAATCCAGTACACATCTCCTTTAACATAACGCAAGTAACCAATGCTAGTATCACATACCAAAACTATTTGAAGAGTTTGGTTCCAAAACGATATATAGCCATTTCCTTTGTTTTTAGAATGTTCCTTTGTTTTTAAATTCGGAACATGTTGGAGCGTACATGCAGTAGTTGACATATTGATGGTGGTTTTTAAAAAATTTTGAAAATGGCATTTATCGCGTTTTGGAACCAAACTCTTCATTTGTAGATTGCCATACATGCCCCTCCAAAGCAGTTCTGTTAGTATGGCAACACAAAAGCTATGCAAACACCACGATGCATCATTTACCTGCAGGTTCTCTAGATGATGTTTCATGAGTCCTCCCTTAGATATCAGCTGACCATTGACGGTGATGAAATAACCGGTTATCCGCCCGTTAGCATGCTTAGGCATTTCCCAGGACAACATCAGTGACGTGGGTGTGGCGTTATAGGCAGGCGACATAACACCCTCCGGGGCTGAGGAAAATAATCAGATATATTTAATGTATTATAAATCTGACATTTTACAAAACTTATATGTGACAGAATATAATAAGTAGCAATTAACATACGATATGATGCGATGAAACATTAAAAGTATCACAACTCGTAGTTAGCTAACTTTTGTTTAGCTAACCTTTAAACTTGAAGCATTTTTAAATGGCTATCACTTCCATTGTTCACTCGTCATTATACAAAACGAATTAATGTAATGAAGTAAAATAGAGGAAGGGAGGACAGAGTTACAGGTGCTATACAAACTAAAATTGAAAGATGAGCTATGAATTCACCTTCTTGTACAGTCACAATATGGTCTCCCTGGGCACTTTCAGTGAAACCAGCATCGGTGAACACGATGAGTTTGATGGAGTAGTTAGTATAAGGCATCAGTCCAGTTATTTTACCTGTAAAATCAGTATGTATTACTTGTGGTAAAAATCAGCATTATTATTGGGATTATGATAAATTATGTCCTACACTTATTTATTACCTACATTTTATTAATATTATAGTTATTATTATTGATGTTGCTGTTGTTATTAATATTATTATTATTGTAAAGAGTAACGTAATTCAGAGAATATGCAGAATTAAATTACTAAAGAACACATACCATCACGGCAGGCTGAGCTGCACTAAAAAAACACTGCCTAGTTTTCCTCTCCATCAAGTCCGTCTCTACAATGCAACACCTACCGGAATACTCCGGAGGTTTCTTCGGCTTTGACTTCCTCTGCGCGTAGTGACCTTGAAGGAACAGCTCCGGGTCGACCTTTTCCACGAAATCTTGCGGGTCGAAGGCGGCGACGACGGGATCGGCATCGGCGTCGTCCATGTTGTACGCGACGAGCTCGTATTTGGTGATGAGTCCGGTCGTTCCCAGTGGAGGTCTCCAGCTCGACTCGGCGACGTATCCGGTCAGGGCGGAGCTGTTGTACGGCGGCACAACGCCCTTCGGAACTGAAAAGCAATTGCACGTCTATAATATATGTTACTCTCTGACACGTTTCTTCCGCAGTGCAGTCATTCATGCGCCGAATGCTGCTGCCTAAAAATTTATGAAAATGCGACAAATATGTTTCATGAGGAAAACCCCAATTATTATTGCAGCGGCCAAAGAAATCATGCTGTGACGCTCTGTGACATCTTGATTGGTTATAGGCTGCAACGTGCATGCATAATTCACTCATTTACCTGAAGTCACTGATGGGCCTAGCACATAATTTATGAGCATTGTGATAGGGGTATTCTAACAAACGTTAATGCTTGGTAATGAAGTACGTGCTGCATATTCAACAAAAACTGAAAATGAATTTACTCATTTCAAAATTAATTTGTTAACTCGCAAAATGATTCGGAGACTTCTAAAGGAATTAATTAACTTTTTAATTAGCTATAACTACTAAAAACTTGACGTTGAATCTATAAGATCGCTATACGATACTAAAGCTAAGGACTATAGCTAGGACACCATCTTAAATGCAGCCTATAGAAATACGGACAGCTGCTCATATCACTGCAGCAAACAACCACCCAATATTTGTATGCTACGAATTGTGAGCTTTTGCCTCAAAGCAAACGTATCTGTTTACCCGTCTAGTAACTATATAGAACATGGCTTTACATACGCCCTATAGAAACAGGGACAGCTGTCAGTACCACTGCAGCAAACAACCCGACTAGGAGTTGTGATCGAGCTTTTGCCTCTAAACAAACATATCTCTTAACCTGTAAAGCAGACCTCGTGTTTAATCGATTCCGTCACGAATTTGATACAGAGTTCTGACATATGATTGCACAGGTGGCTATGCCAAGGCTTTCGAACCCAGTTTAGCATGCGCAAATCTGCCCACAGTGTGTTGATCAAGCCAATGTGCCTAGGGCACCAGGAACAACTCTACGCTGACCCTACCGTAGATGGAAGCATGCGTCACGCGGAAATGAGCGATGCTCTGCCAGTTACGTATAAATGCTTTGCTTGTTAGTCACCAGCAGATTTCATTCACTGTTCAGTGAATCCTAGCTCCATAATAATGTATTTCCCTTTAGGACTAGTGACGTGCTTGTCTGCAGTTATTATAACACTATCACTGCAATTATCACACAAAACTTGTGGCAGCGAGCAGAGAAAGAGTGTTTATGATCCAGTGAGAGATCAAGTCAAGTACGATGTGAGAGCAGGAAAGCCAGCTTACTGGAGTAGTGGAATAACATTACATAGTCCCTCACGTGACTACACAAGTTTAGATCTGCAGGGAGCACACCTGAAAGTTGGGCAATGGATATGTGACAAAGGAGACGAGAATATCATGCAACGTACTGACAATATTTTAACGACACTAGCAAAGTACATGAACTTCACATACTCTACTAAGACCTTTTGTTCAGGAGGATTCGATCGACTTGCAGCTGGCATTTCTGATGGAAGCATTGATCTCGGTGGTATTATGACAGTAACATCGCATCGACGAGAACGGGTGCTTTTTCTCAAAGCAGTATACACGGATAACTACGTTATTATCATAAAAACTCCAGAAACATCCACAACAGCAACATTCAATGTTTTCTCTCCATTTGATTTATCAACATGGCTTGGAATCTCCGGATATGGATTAATTACTGCTACTTTACTTTGCTATATGAATACCAAGGCACACAAAAATGAAAGCAGGAGAACGTGGTACAAGAAACTTGGCTTCTTTCATAACTACATATTTGGCACATTTGTCAATCAAGGTGGCACATATTCCAGTCCAAGCACTGCTATTCGTGTGTTTATCAGCTGCTGGTGGACATTCGTGATTGTGATGGTCGGAACATACAGTGGAACATTGGTAAGCCATCTCTCAGTGCAGACAACTATTGAATACCCGTTCACAAGCCTAGAAGAGGCAGCAAACAGCCATCTGACTCCCACCGTTGTGCGGGGATTTGGCAACGAAAACCTGTTACAATACGCTGATCCAGATTCCAACTACGGCAAGATGTGGCGCAAGGTACTGGCTGATCCACATTCGCGTGTGTCGGACATGCAAGAGTCAATCGATTTAGTTCTAACAGGGGAGTACTTTACACCGATGCATGCCGTTTTTGCAAAGGCTTTCATCGAAGCAGATATTCAAGTGACTACCAAATGCCGACTTACAATTGCACCGTTTCAGTTTCACACAATAGATCGCAGTTGGGCCATGTCAAATACTAGCAAGTATTTCAGAGCCATTGACACTGGAATACAGATTTTGCTTGAGACTGGCCATTTACAGAAGTGGATGAATCAGCAGTCACCGGCTTTTGATAAATGTTCCAAGGCAGGAGTACAGGTGACATCCACCTCTCTGTCCCTTCAACACCTCTCGAGTATATTTATGCTACTCATCTATGGTTGTGCTTTTGCTACTGCTGTTCTGATAGGAGAGAAATTGAACGCTATCTCATGCAAAAACACCCGATTCAATATTTAAATTTGATAAAATCCCATTCATTGAAAACTATATAAATCCTACTATACATGTATGTTGCAGATAGATAACAAGAAAACTATTAGTATCAATATCACGGAATATCTAATTTCATTTATAAATATTTAACAACAGTCTAAAATTTGTATTTTTAAATTGTGTCAATGCTAGCATAAAATGTCGCAAGATTGAGAAGAAATGCTTTGACATGAAAGTGTTTATTCCCAAATGTGTGAGGTGGCAATTAAAGTACTGTGTCTTTAAAATGTTTATACATATATTAAATTATATTATAAATATATAATTATACTAGCTATTACCCGTCCTCCAGACGGGTTTGAGTGAGGTCTGATTTGAGGATGGCGGTTTCACCATTTATCTCTCACTTTTAGTTGAGGATGTATTTACAGTAAATACTGATATGTTTTTACTGATATTTTTACTGATGTTTTTACTGATAAATACTGATATAGACTCGAGTCATACCTCAATATTTATTTAAATATATATAAAATCTGAAATTTTACCTTAAAATTACATACAATTTTTCAAAAAAGGGAAATGGAATTATTTCATAGTACAATTTCACTTATTTAGATATTATTTTTGAAAATATCATTCTGGTAAAAAGCATCATTAATAAGTCAAATTCTTAAAAAAAAGCAAAATGCATTGAGTAGGTTTGAAGATATATGTTCTTGAAAGTCAGTGTTATTGAAGTATGTTATTATGTTATGTTATGTTATGTTATGTTATGTTATGTTATGTTATGTTATGTTATGTTATGTTATGTTATGTTATGTTATGTTATGTTTTATGTTATGTTATGAAGTAAGTTATTGAAGTATGTTCTTTAAAGTCACCTCCCGTTGTCAAATATTTGCACACACGGGCGCAGACACGCATCACACACACGCGCGCACGCACGCATACACCACATTCGCACACACACGGGCATGCGCACGCACAATCACACGCGCACCCACGCACACACATACCAATTTACACACACACGGGCGCGCACAACATCAGCACACGACACACGCACACATGCACATGAGCACATGCACACGCACACACACACGCATACATACATACATACACACACACACACCCACACACGCACACACCCACACAGCCACACACACACACACACAGAGCCACACACGCACACACCCACACAGCCACACACGCACACACCCACACGAGCAGACGCACACAGCCACACCCGACACACCCGCACACGCGCACACACGCACACACACACAACTGCAGCCGCAAAACTCCACGAACAGATGGCGGCTCTCGCTCTGGCTCAATTCTACCACTGCCACAAGCTGATTTCCCGTAAGAATTTCTTACGGCTTTTTTACTATAAGTTTTACAGCGACCCCGTTACTCCTGTCCTATGTAATACGGTGTGTACTTATAAAAGATGCAAAGATATTAAAAATCCAACCATTATTTTATGAGAATTTGATAAAATAGTGATACGAAATAGTGCGCCCATTTACTACTTTCAAATCATTACGCTGTTTACTAAACTAAGTTCACGTATTTATCATGAATTTTTGGGATGATTGCCAATATACCTAATTCTCGAACATTGTCTTTGATACATTTTTGCGTATTCAGCTTAAAACATATAAATTTGTCCACCAACAAACATGCAAATCATAGAAATTTCTAATGTTTTGTTCGACGGCGACCTCGCGGCCGTTGGATTGCCATTTGCTGGATATTTCCCCGGAGGCTCCGCCCACTTTAAAAATAGTGCTAGCATTGTGGCAGTGGTATTATCCTGAGTGTGGGAAGGGGCAACTGCATGCAGTTTGCTGCAGCCGTACCTCGTTGGGGTTTTGTCTTAAATTTTCGTCTCACAGCTGTGCGCGGCAGGTGATTGGCTGTTTATTACACCGCAGCCGCAATGTCTTTGGTGTGTGGTTGTGTGCGCGTGCCGGTGTGCGTTCGTGGCGTTCGTGCGTGCGTTTAGTGCTGGCTTGCTATGCTAGGTGAAGGCTCCACCTAATTAAATGCTTATTATTATACCTTTAATCTACATTTAGTACAGCTATATATATAATTAAAAACCCGTGACTGTGAGAAAACACAATTAATAGTTTAAACACAATTTTCAAAGGTTATGGTATATATAGTGTGGTATGTGTGTGCTTTTAGACAATCGAAACGGCGTCTAAAAATGTCAGAGCATTGGAGCCGGGTCAGCGCGGGCACGGTTACAACTCCCGTTGTCAAATATTTGCCACACACGCCGCGCACGCACGCACACAGCGTATTCACACACATATACGGGGCATGTGCACGCACAATCACACGCCCACCACGCACACACACGCACGCACGCACGCACGCACGCACGCACGCACGCGACGCACGCCACCGACGCACGCCCACGCACGCACACACAACACACACACACACACACACACAACACAATTGCAGCCGTCTCTCGTTGGGGTTTGTTCTAAATTTTCGCTCACA